GAAGAACTTCCCACCGTTTAGAACAGTGAATAGATCGTTGGGTACTGGTAGTTAGCTGCATTTAGGCCGGTTGAGAAATCGGCACTGCCCAGGCAGAGTAGGATACAGGGGACAGAACGCCTTGTTCTTCCAACCGTTGAAGCTCGGCATCTACCAGTGGGGGGGGGGGGAAGCCTACGGAACTGGTCTCTTTGGACGGAAAACTGGCGTAGATGCACGCACGATGTGGAGGAATGCTTGTGTAGCAGTGCACTGACCGAGATCGGATTGGAAAACAAATGGAAATCGCATGATAATGTCGGATGCATGATCTGCATGCGCCGTGGGAGACTGAACTGCATTGCAAATGACACTGATTGGAATGTCGGCTAACCCCAGGCGATCGAACCAATCAAGATGATGATGATGAATGATGACAAACTGATCGCCGCCCAAATTTACTCAGCAAGAAATCTCCTTTGTCAATCGCGTTATAAAAACAGGCACCTCGTTAGTAATGCGTGGCAGACCAATGATTTATGAAAAGGTGGTTATCGAGTAAGCCATGGCAACCGTCCCTCCGCCCATTGTTGTGAAAACGGCTAGTCCACAAGATTTCGCACTTGTCACAGCTATGCGGCAGACCCGAATCAGTCACAATTTTGAGGACCAAGACGTTAGCAATCACCGGGGCCTGTCTTACCAACTCAGCAAGTTGACGTAAGCTTAAGGGTTGTGATGATCGATTGACTCATCGGACGTTTCTCACAGTAAATGGAATTCATCTCAACCGATAGTGCTGTGGCCTTTGGGGATTGGTTTGCGGTCACGCGATCGTTGGTTCACCCTTGGTGCTCGGGGCAGTGTTGCGTCTGTATGGTACACTCCGCTCTCGTTTTTTTCTATCACAAGGTGGACCAAGTGGTTAGAGCGCGAATTTACTGACCGGAAGGTCCGTGGTTCGAACCCGACCTCTGCCTCTCGGCTTCCCCTGTCTAGGCTTGGGCGACCTGGCAGTATCCCAGCGCTCGTGCGGCATGGCGGCTAGGCACCGAAAGGGTGCTACAGCTGAACGATTCATTTTTTCTGTCACAAGGTCAGAAGCATCCTGGACGGCAGAATTTTGGTAAAATAATGCGATACCTAAACATGTTAATCTACCTTCCTCTTGTAAATGTATACAGTCATTTTGGACCGTACGGTTGTTCTTGTGTCAAGTTTGAAGGTTTCCAGTGGAGTGAAGATTGATCAATACCTAATCGAAGCTTGCCTCTTACCACCGCGCGTGGGTAGCTACGAGTCGGTATGCCCACAAAGCCAACTTTTCCCCATGCAGATAGCCGAAGCAAAGTACGAATAGATTTAACTGAATCCAAATTCAAAACAGGCTGCATTCAATACTTCCCTTGACTTGATCACCATCGTAAAATTTATATAATCTTGCTTATTGGAGCGCTCAAAAATTAGGTGCAAAACAGGATAGGAAAGGTGACATTTTTGCATCATTTTGTGTAAAACCTGTACGTCCTGGATATCCATATCTTTCAACTCAAGTCAACTTTGTAAGGTGTGTTTTGCAATACATCCTCTGTACTTTTCTGCTACTCCTCACTCAGTCGGCTATTCACACACTCGTCCTCTGTATCCATGTTTCTTTGTAATGTCCATACTCCGTCTCCTCAACAGAATCTACGCATACACGCGTCCTCTACCTGTCTGTGCTCTCCATGCTTATCCTCGTGAGCTTCGCGGTCTGGCAAGTTCTCTACCTTCGTAGATACTTCAAGTCAAAGAAATTAATCGAATGAGTAATCCCTGTGTTATTTCTTTGACCGCAGACTACACGCCTTCGTGAATGTACCCGATTTTTCTCTACCACAATTGTCCGTTTCATAGTGTCCCCCTCTACGAACTGTAAGTCTAAAAGATTGTTGGTTGATAGGTTTTGTCAAGTGGTTTACCAATACTGTACACAGCAACCTATCTCCTGGCTTTCGCGTGATACTCAGCCAACTTAGGAACGCATTCGGTCGCGCCATTATGCTCCTTGGTATCACGGCCTTATCTTGTCTGATGTGTATTTCCGCTCACCTTCCCAAATTCGTTTCCCAACTTCACAGTGTTCGTTGCTAGAAAGTGTACTCTTTATCTTGCTATTTTCCCTTTCTTACACACCGAAGTGTTGTATTAGACTTTCCCGTTGTTTCTAGAAATGCTTCTACAGCGGACATCGTTTTTATGTCCAATCTATGGATAAGGTGAACTAATTGACTGGTGAGGTTTCCGAGCTATGGTATTTTCGACATACTCTATTTATGAGTCATTTGGAGGCAATAAAAGGTTGTCCAGTGGTTTGTCCACTTTTATTGTGTTCTCCGTCTTTATTCAGCCATGTTCAGTGTATCAAACTAGAGGTGACGGTGCTCCAAACGCCTCGGCAGATCTGACGATTGTGGCATGCGAAACCGAATCAAAGATTTCGAGATATCAACAAACGCCAAGCTGAGGTTAGAAGGAGTCGCTGAAGAATGATGGAGCAGGGCATGTAACAGTGATGTAGCTTCCAAACAGCCGTCTCGACGCAGAAATGCAAACTGAAGTAAGGGTAGTTGCACTGTGCGACTTTAGCGATCAGCAAGCACCAGACAACATTGGATGACGCGGAGATCGGTCTCAATTGATCTGGTGAAGTCGAATTTGAACCTTCGGAACTAGGGTAATACTACACAACACAGATGTGGGGGACAACCACCAGATAACAAGAGTAGGTTGAAATACCCAACGAGCACGTTAGCATTGAACCGGTGGAGCATCTTTGGCGTGAGCTTGTCCAGGCCTGAGGACGAATTACCCATTAAACGGATCGTACGGCTGACTTCCTCTCCTATAATTGGCTCGATCAAGCTCGAGTCGTATGTTAGTACTATGCGACTTGGCCGGATATCCACGTGTTATGGAGCTGAGAGCACCTGTTTCTAATACTACTCGGAGTAGGCCGGAGGTAGGCCATAGTTAACTTTGTATAGATGCTTCCTTGAATCATCGAGGTGGATGAGAAAGGGACTTAGTGCTGGCTTACTACAATCATTCGGAGGTGCCTACACCTCCAAACACTTATTCAGGTAATCTGGGTAGAAACTGGTAACAACATCGCCACTGACATCGGTT